GGCGGCGGCGGGGCGTGGAAGAAAAGAAAAGAAGAAATGGGGTCAAATTGAAAATTTTAAAATATATAAAATTCGAATTTGGCCCTAATGACCGGAAGTTAACCTAGAAACGGGCTAATGGCTCATTAGTGAAAGGATTGTGTAAGTTCAGGGATTTTTGTGAAAGGATTTGAAGTTCAGGTACCACTTCGAAATTCCAGCTAAAGTTCAGGTACCATTTGTGAAATTTACCCATTATTTTTCTCACTAGACATTATTAAGTCCTATTTAGGGAATAAAAAAGTTTAAGTCTTACATTTGGAAATGAGTTATGTTTTAGTCCTATTTAATACAAATTTCACTAAATTCAATCTTTATCATTCAAATATCATCATCCCCCAACTAAACTCCTCAGAAAACATGTTTGACCATTATACTACACATAAGTGATGATGATGTTGGATCTTAGCATAAACAAGAACAAAGGCAATGAGATAAGGGCAATATAGTGAATGCAAAAATGGGAACAAAACCATTTTTAGGAGAATTTGGAATGAGCGTTTGGCTCAATGACAGGCCAAAGAGAGAGATTTACTCTTCCATGCGGTTATCTTGGGACTTTTGTGAGACCTTGACCTTGATGGGCAAAGTGAGAGAAGCATCTTGTCGGAGAGCGCTGGGTGCTTTGATCAAGTGGATGCTCTGCTCAAGTTCCTTTGCTGCTTCTTTGTTTTTCATTGCTTTCTTGGATCTAAATCTGTTTTTGTGGTGACGAGCCTCCCTGTTGTCCCTGACTTTAATAATTGTCTTGATGGCCTTCAAAGTGTTCTCTGTTACATTCTTGTCATATCTCTCGGGCCTGTTTCGCTTCTTCTCAAATTCAAAGGTTGAGTCCTGTGTCATGTCCTTTCCATGTAACCGTCTATCGGCCTTAGTCCACTTGACCTTGCGTGGATTCCTCTTCATCTTAAAGTTCTAGTGACATTTAGATCTGCAGAACCTAAAAATCTTCGCATCATTCCGAACATACTGAATACCATGCCCAGGGTATATAGTGGATGAGCAAAACCAACACTTCTCCAACCTCATTATGCCTTCTTATGCTGTTGATAAGGCTGATCGATGGGAATGAATCAGGGAAGAAGATGAGATGAGCATAGAAGAACAGACACCAGGGGAGGAGCGGCCCCACTTTTGGCTGGAAACGCCCGGAGCCGAAGGGATTAACATATATATATATATATATATGTATGTATATGTATATGTGTGTGTGTGTGTGTGTATAGTAGGATCTTACGATCCGAGTCACGATGTTACGATCTTCATTAGGCCCATCGATCCTACGTAGAATCTAGAGTTTGACTACCATGCTCTTAATGCATGTTCTAAGTTGCCAAACATAGAGATAGAAATCATGAAATGGGCTAGCAAATCACTTGCTAAGATTCAAAATACACAAGGTATTAAGAAAAGGATTTTTGTATTCAAACTTGATGTCTTAATTACGATATCTCTTGATATTTACACCAAGGCTAATGTGCACTAAATACCCACTGGCTTGATTGAGAAAATATTTACACACACTTAGCAAGTGATTTGCTAGCCCATTTCATGATTTCTATCTCTATCTTTGGCAACTTAGAACATGCATTAAGTACTTTTATGTATGTGTGTGTGTAAATATTTTCTCAATTAAGCCAGCGTGTATTTGGTCAGTTTATATAGAGCCGGTTAGTATGGAGTTGGTTAGTGTGTCTTCCATATTTAATTAATTAGAAATAGAAAACAGTTAGGCAGTTTCTAGAAGATAGGTCCTGGTAGTTTGTAAAAGTTATTCCGGTTTTTTCTCTATTCATATTTAGAGAACACTAAGAATCCTGTACAGTTCACAACAATATAATTTATAAAATATTGTTATACTTTGCTTTGATCCAATGTTGTCTAATAATTGGTATAGGAGCGGTCCAGTTTGCGATAAGGGTGTGTGTGATCGGGAGCGGAAGGGATCTTCTAGATCATAAAACTGCTAGATCATAAAACAAAGTGTAGGGATTTCCTCGGCAACTGATCTATAAGCTTTGACTGGATTCTTACTCGCCTAGGACAAGAATCGAAAGTGGCTAGATTTTTCTTGGGCAGAAGTATTTCAACCAAAAAGCGCAGAAAAAAAAGAATAGCTGCTTGGAAGATGGAAAAGCATGGGCTTATCTTCGGGTTGATGATCGATTGCAGGTGGCTTACGACCCAAATAGGAATCGAGGTCTAAGAATTTTGTGAAAATTGTCAAAGGAGTAAAAGTCGTGCAATGGGAGACAACCCAGAAAGACGGATTGTGACTACAAGGGAGAATAGTTTACTATCTTTTCGGGTGCCAATTCTAACGGCTACAAACTACACTGTTTGGGCCATGAAGATCAAAGCAATTTTCAACGTTAATAGGATTTGGAAGGTAATAAAACCAAAAAAAGAAATTGATCCAAAGAAGAACAATATGGTGATAACATAACTGTTTCAAGTCATGTTACAAGTAGCTTAGTTTGCCAAAGCGAAAGAATTTTGGGATGCTCTGAAGACTCGTTTTGTTGGTGTTGACAGGGTTAAAGAGGCACGATTATAGACACTCTAATCAGATTTTGAGACTTTAAAGATGAAGAACAATGAGTCACTTGATGATTTTGCTCGTAAAATTAATCAATTTGGAACACAAGCAACCAACCTTGGGTCTGCATTTCAAGACAAAAGATTGGTTTGAAAGCTTTCAGGTTCTCTGTTAACACAATGCCGTTTGAAGAAGCGGTTCAAAGATTGAAAGCATTCAAGGAACACATCAAAAAGCCATCCGAGGAAGGAGATATGAATGGTCAACTACTAATCACTAAAGGTGATGGAAAAGAGAAGGTTAAGGAGCACAAATGTGAGCATTGTGGTTGTGGGAGCTCAAACCGAGAAGACTTTGGATGTGGCCGAGGTTGAAGTCCGAGGATTAAGAAAGGTCAAGATGGTGGTCGGTTTCAGCAGGATAAGAGTCACATTAGGTGTTTCAAGTGAACGAGCTCGGGCATGTTGTGAACGAATGTCCAAAATGGGATCGAAAGGAATACATTGAAAATTTGATTCAAGATGATGATGAATAAACATTGCTATGAAGATCGATGTGAACAAACAACGAGTAGGGTCGTGATTGTTAGATTTAGGGCTTGTTCTCTTCACGTGATCTGAATGATTCTGATTTGATTGGAATAATTTTTGGTCTGATTTAAATGTAGTTATATTTAAAGTTGTTTCTGATGTGGCATGGTGTGATCTCATCTCATCTGAATTGATTCCAATAAGTAATAAGTAATAAGTAATAAGTTGAAGAGAGCAATTTGTTCACATATAACTGTATGGGTAATGGGCGAATGTTCGGGTCAGTTTGTATAGAGTTGGTTAGTGTCTTTCATATTTAATTAATTAGAAATTGAAAACAGTTAGGCAGTTTCTAAGAGATAGGTCCTGGTCGTTTGTAAAAGTTGTGTTGGTTTTTTCTCTCTCTATATATATTTAGAGAACACAAAAAATCCTGGACAGTTCACAACAATAAAATATTTTTATACTTTGCTTTGATCCAATCCTGTCTAACATTGACTGCCCGCCTCTCGCCTTAAAAAATGCTCTCTCACTTGTCCATCGCCTTCCAAAACTATGAATAAGGCATGTTATTTTGCACAAGAGACCTGTCCGTTGATTTTGCCTATAAATATATGGGTTGTTGGTATGTTTCAAAGAACGGAATCACACATACTCGTTCTTGTAGAGTTGTAGTTTACGTCTTATGCGATTGAAGTATTTAGCATCCATGAAATAACCTTAATATGGATGCATGTTTTAAGCTATTTCTAAGTTTATCAATTCTTCTTCACATTCTTCTATACCAATTCGTTTTTAACCCTGCTATGCAGTGTTAACTGCCCTCCCGATTTCCCTACACTTTTCACTTCAGAAACATTGGTGAAAACCCTCTTTTGATTGGTATCAGGATCTTCCTGTTTCACTTTACACAATCGCTGATGGAAGCATTGCAGATTGGTTGGGAGGCTTTGTGTACTCTGCTGGTCAACAGGCAAATGAGGCTGTCCAAGGCCAGTTGTCAGCTCTCAGTTTTTCTGGGTGAGATTTCTGATGTTTATAAATGTTTTTGGTACTGCTAAATAATCCATAGGATTTTCTTGCTAAGGCTTGTTGCATGCTCTGTTTTGTAGTTTAGCTGTCATATTTGGAGCAGGCCTTGTAACTAGCCTCTCACCTTGCACGTTGAGTGTTTTACCACTTACCCTTGGTTACATTGGTAGAATCTTTGATCTCTAGTTATGATTCGGAAGATCTGATATTTTCAACTCCATTCTTGTCTGACCCTATGCCTTTCCTTTTTATCTTGGACCCCTAGGGGCGTTTGGCTCTGGCAAGAGTCGTGCAATGGTGAGCGCTGAAGTACCATAGGACTTCTCTTTCCTGTTTGAAACTTGCCATTTACAATGAACTTTGTCGTGCCATCATAATTTGACAACATTGTATTGCTGCTATGCTGTTTATAAATTAATCTCTACTCAGAAGTAATATATATGACAGGTTGTTGCAGATTCAGTTGCTTTTGCATTAGGGTTGGCCACAACACTTGCATTACTCGGCATTGCTGCTGCATTTGCTGGAAAGGCATATGGTCAGATTGGTCCTGGGCTACCTGTGGCTGCTTCTAGTCTAGCTGTTGTTATGGGGCTTAACTTGTTAGAGGTGACAAACTGTTATAATATTACTATTTTATGCCTAATACATTTCATCTTGTGAAAGTGACATCAGCTCTATTGACAATGTGTAATGTTTACAAGGTAAATACTTAAGCTGTCCTTACTCTTGGGTTTACCAAAGCAACATATGATCTTGTATCACGTCAGATTTAGGGAAGAAGTATTAGCAATCTGATCTTTACATAAAAGTATTTTCCATGGTTTGAACGACCCACTACTTGAAGACTAATGAGAACACACTCAGAGGAATTAGGGGTGGATCAAGTGTCAATTTCACCAATTGTCATGGAATTTTGTTCTAGATTGCTACCGTAGAAAATTGCTTGAAGAAATAGTTAGTTGTATATAGTTGTAAAGGCATATAGAAAAATGACATCATGTCCATTTAGAAAATTGACATAATGGATTCATGTTGTGATGTCCTTAAGGAGACTTAGGAAGACAACTCCTTTTCTCCCTCCGTCCCATATCTTTCTTCTGCTTTGCCTATTCACGGTCTCCATCGCAACACTTTGACCACTAATATCTCTATTTGTATATAAACATATTCCTATTAATTAATATTGAATTAGGGACCTAACTTCCCGGCATTAACGGTGGTCATTTTTTGGCGTGAATATTTACTTTTCAAACGAGCAATGTTTTTATGCTAGTGAATCATCAAATATGATCACACCACTAGATCCCCTTCCTCATCGCAAAGTTGGTCAAGGGACTCATTCTTTTCTTTTATTCCATGCATGTCATCAGGATCTATCAAAGAACGAGAGCTTATACTGTCCACCAATATGGAAGAGTTTCCTTTTTCCAAGGTTCCCAGTGAAGGTTCCTATTCAAAGACCACCAACCATAGCATCCAAAGGACTTCCCCTACTTCAGCCTCTTCTTATTCTGTTTAACTCTCTTCTGATTCTTCCACCTCAGAGGTGATACAGTTCACTTTTGCCTTACCCTTGCACACATGTCCAAGTTTCCAGGGTTTCTTGCAAGAGAAACACAACTTCACTATCCAGATTCCCTTGTACTCCTTTGGCTGATTGGTTGGTAGGGCTAAGTGGTTCAGCTGTTGAATGTGAGTTTAGCTTCCAAGT